AAAAAAAAAATGACAACTAACCACAGCATTTTCAGACTTTCTGGTGGTATGGAACATTCTTCTCTATAAAGACGCAATCCATAAAAATACCAATAAATATTCCCTTGTTCATCTCGTCCAAGTGGCTGAACACAAAGTTTGTTGCTGTCTTCAATCTAATTAAAACAAGAATATTAACTTGAGTAACAAAATGTATTATTTATCAAAATATTTTAAGTTTTAAAATTTATTTGCAACTGTCAGTAAAAGAAGCAAGTGTTTGCACTACTGCCAGAACATCAATTCACTGTACCGCAGGATGTGTGATGTGCAATATTTTATACTTCATATGCCATTATTATATTTTCTGCAGCAATTTAATATTTAAACTAACTAATTTAAGAGACAAATGATATCAAAAAAGAGAAATAATTTATATTAAATATATGTATCAAATAAAAAAAATACATATTAAAAATATTAAGAAAAGCAGAGTAATTTCTACATGAAAATTAAATCACTAATGAGAATGAATGGCTAAATGCTTTTGTAATATCATGCTTAAAAAAGTTTCATTAGGTTAACGTTTAATAAAAACATTTTTTGTCTCCGTCATCAGGAACAAAGATCTTGCTGTTCCCTCCCTTATTACAGAGGTTAGGGATGTTGATGACATGTGATGCCATGCAACAATCCACAGCCTTCCTCTTATACACACTTTCCTCTCAACACCTCTTTATCTGTCATAAATCAAATAATTTCCTAAATAATTCAAATAATTACAGACTTTATCTGGTGCCCAGGACACATGCCCTGCCAGATCCATTTTATAAAATCATTACAGTATTAAGAATATTAAAATTTAAATTTTGGCCATATCTAGAGACCCTAGATTGCCAGTGTGATACAGGTGCTGAGTGCACTGGCACAGTGCAGAACTTAACCATTTTGATTACTAAGACCATTGTTTTAACTCCTTTTCCTAATCCAAACTCACCAATTCCACTTTCAAACCCCAAACAAAGACAGGCACATGCAGCTAATTTTAAATATTAAAAAAAAAAATGACAACTAACCACAGCATTTTCAGACTTTCTGGTGGTATGGAACATTCTTCTCTATAAAGACGCAATCCATAAAAATACCAATAAATATTCCCTTGTTCATCTCGTCCAAGTGGCTGAACACAAAGTTTGTTGCTGTCTTCAATCTAATTAAAACAAGAATATTAACTTGAGTAACAAAATGTATTATTTATCAAAATATTTTAAGTTTTAAAATTTATAACATTATTACACTTTAAACTGCATTAATTATAGTTAGAAAGAAGAAAAAATAATTTTATTATGCTAAATTTCATCAAGAATATTCAAAATTTAGTCTTAGTTTTACATAAAACTGCACATATTTAACATTTTAATGTAGAGTCATACAATTATTTGTTATCTCTTGTTACGGTTGTCCATAAATTACATAGCAAAAATGGTGGGAGGGCGAGAGTGTGGTTAATTGTTATGCTGTGTTATGTTGGGGTTGTAGTGTCACGTTATACCTTCATGGGGCCCAGGCAAATTTGAATTAGAGGAAATTTTATTTGAGGAAATTTTTTAAGGGAAATATTTTCTTATAAAAGATTGGTTTAAGACCCCTTGTTGATGGGGACTAATAAAATTTTCCTTTTTGCCCTTAGGATAACACACCACTGTTGGGGTGAGAGGGTGGGTAATCTTTATAAATGTGTTACAATGAGATGTTTACAAAAATGTTATGTAATGTTAGTGTTTCAATCTTTGGATAACAGAATGATTCATTTTTTTTATTTCTTAAGTATTGCGTAACAAATCATCAGGCCTTAGAAGAGGTTGCATCTAAGGCACCGCCCCAGGGCACATGGGACCCATCAGGGGGAAAAAATTGTCCATTTTCTGATTTTTTCCAAATAATAAAATAACTTTGGCCATGGGCTAACATTTATACTAAATTATTTTTCTACTTCAATATCATTATGTTATTTGTATAAGCAGAGTCTCCGAAAGGGGATTCCAAAATGGTCTTTGCACTGACAGCTCTCCATTAGCCGGGGTCCTGTAAATCATGCTATTTATGTAACTCAGTGGCACATTATACCTTTACGAGGCCCAGGTGAATTTATATTAGGAAACTACATGTACAGAGTTGGCTCCAGACATTTTTCTTTGACGGAATTTTTTGAGGAAAGTTTTTTTTATAAAATATTGATTTGCCCACACAACGAGAGGCCCCAAGCAATTACCCTTTTTGCCCATAGGATAATTGCATGTATCAGGTACAGTACAATACATTAGTATATATTCGATATAGTACAAAGCAGTTACTGATGTAACTGCTTTGTACTATACTGTACCAAATATATGTAATTAATGAATAATGAATGTACTTTATATTCAAAATTATTCTTTGGTATAATTAAGGGATATGTGATCATGGACATGCATTGCATAATTTTGGGATATGTATGGAAGTGTTACAAAGTGTTATGTAATTTTCGAACGATCTCTAGTAGAATTTGCATGTGCATCAGTGGCTACAGGAACCCTCACAAATGTGAACAGAACAGTCAAGAGCTAGAGATAGAGAGGGCAGTGAATGTTAGTGCCTGGGACCCCTTCTAAATAAATCGTCTCTATTCAACTTAATTGCATACTATATTTCAAAATGTAAAAAGAAAGAGAAGACCTAAATTACTATAATTTATTAAAAATGTGGGTTAATTATTGCATTTTAATTATACTGTATATGCTATTCAAATAATGATAACTTCGATTGAAACAAATAAAAGTGATTAAGCTGCATTCGTTTTATCAGAATCAGAACAGTATGCAGCATTACGTCAATTTGACGTCATTTTATGCTTCCTTATTCTAAAAAATAATAAAAACGACGTCAAAATGACGTAAGAATCAGCACTATTTCGACAAAACACACAAACACATCTTAAATATACTGGCCTAACACACACTAGAAAACTGAAGATTAAATGAATTAAAGAATAATCTAATAATGCAACTATTCACGTTATTAATTATTAAACTAAAAAGCTTTTTTAAAACTGGAATATGAAAATTTTGTACTAATTGTAGAAAGAAAAAATCCAGCAACAAGTTGTTTAACTTTCCTAGAAACATTTAGTGGCGCTATCTGTTATGACATTTTATTTTAAAAACTTTTTATATTTTTAACTGTTATAAAACAGCAAAAATGCTTAATTTCGAGGGTAGGGATGGGTTTTACAAAAAAAAAAAAAAATGTATAATGAGTAAAATCGTCATTAAGTTCGAACCTACTGGAGATACATACGAACCCCTTTATCTCTCCATCTCCTCAACCTTTAATCATCAAATTTTAATAGCATCAATTCCCCTAATAAACAAACATCACTGCGAAATTTCAGAAATTTTCGACAAAAAGCACAGGAATTATTAAGCTTCAAAGAGGGTGAACAAAATCCTGCCTCTCCTCACACACTATATCAATACATACAGAAAAAACCCCGAATTTTTTTCATTTCTCGACGTTTCAATGTCCTAAGTCCAAAAATTTAAAGATCTGGGGGATAATTTTTGGACCGATCGATCGCTATACTTTTCCTCTGTTATACATAACAGCTGGGAAAGTAAGAATGAGAAGAAAATCATATTCACCGATATGGCAGACAAACAAACAAATATAACTAAACAGTTATTAAAAAATCAGATTCAATAAAGATATTTCTACGACAGCAATAAATATAAATCGTTATTTTTATTTTTAAATGTCAACTCTTTGAGAGGCAAAGTTAGACCAGTCACAAATATAGTCTCACTCCCTCCGAAAATAATAAAAATATATGATTAGACTAAATAAAAAACAATTTTCGCTATTTATCAAAGTAAATTTTATATCATTTTTTAGTCTTTTTTTTACATGAAACGGTTATTTTAGGCCAGAGTCTGAGAGAAGTGGACCAAGACTATGTCTGGGTCTGTTTCAGCGTTATATTATTAAAAATAAATAAACGAAATATATTCCATTTACGTTTCTAGGTTTTTTAATGTATTTTATAGATTTTCAAGTGAATAACAAATACAGTAATTGTTTTGAAGGTCAGCGGCAATTTGGGTTACCAGTCCCCAACTAGCATCCCTCATCCAACCAAAACTTGTGGTTTTCAATGTTAACAACTACTTTTGAATCCTCCCAAAACTATTAACAAAAAAAGAAAAAACGAATGACTATTCTTAACTTATTAATTTTTTATGTTTATGATAAAATCTAATAAAATATAAATGTCATACAAGATAATTCTTTAATAATTGTAATAACGAAAGAATTATTTTATTTAGAACTCTAAAATTCGCCAGTTTGGCGTCGTAGTGATAATTACAATGTAGATTTTTTAAGAAAATCGGATATGACGAAGAAATAATCTTCTATAGTAATACACAGGAAAAACTCTTAACAATTATGATGATCTAGAACATGAAAAACTGCCTAAATTGTGGTTTAAACACCTCAAAAATAATAAATTATAAGAGCCAATGTACACTCAGCTCTAGACTAAAATAAAATAAATATAATAAACAAATACAGTAATAAAGTTTCTTAATTATATTATTTACTATTTCATTATTGCACTAAAATCTTTCACACCTTGCAAACATGCAACATGTAACTATGATTACAGGTGACCACAGAAAATTTTCCAGGGAGAGGAAACAGATAATTACATCAATAAATTTTTATTTATTTATTTAATTTTTATGGATTTGTGGATTATAGAATACAGTATTGCATCAATTAAAAAAGACAGACAAAGAGTCCCATGGACTAGGCTTTCCCCAATTATAGTTTGTGGAATTTTTTTACTTGATCCCATAGCAGAAGAATTCTAATTCCATATTTCACAATGGTAGCCTATATAACACATTATAGCGTTATATAATGTGTTAACATTTAAATTGTATTTTTAAAAAAACAATATAATTTTTAAAATTATTTGAATAACACTTAGTTACCAATTAGCACCAAGAAAAATCTCATCACTTAATAATAAAACTAATGACTTCTTTTTAACTGATAATTAATTGCATGAAAAAAGCTGATGTAAATTCATTAATTCATCACTGAAAAAAACAAATTAAATCAATTTTTCAAGTGAGGATAGACTCAATGATTTTGTTATTTTATTTGTTAAGTCTTTGAAACTGGAATATATAATGGAAAAACTTGGAGAAACAAAGGGGAGATTTTCAAATATAAAATATTTATTTAAAATTAATTTTGCTCCTCTTATAGTATCAAAATTTATATTATGTTTTGATATTTATTATAATTTAATAAATTGATTCAACATAACATTATTATTAATTTAAACTCAGTTCCTAGTTAACTTTTGCTATTTTTTCCACATTTTTCCACATAAATGGAGTTCATTTTTAAGTTGGAATGGGATCTTATTTCCAAGAATATAAAATTAGCATATTTTATTGTATATTAAGTGTTTTTTCTGGTTTTTATAGCATTTTTAAGTAATTAATTCCAATTTTTATAGTTAATTTGTACAGTTAATCAATCAGGAAATTGGAAAAAAAACAGCAGAATGAAACACTGATCAGAAAGAAAAAGAGAAAGAACTAAAATAATGTTATATTAAATATTAGCTGGTGAAAACTATATTGATATCTTTAGAGCATCCTCACTGCAAAATTTACAGTGCAATATAGAAATTAATAGTAAAATAGTATATACAAGTACTTGTAGAAGTGGAAAAGCCATACAAATATTGTAAAAAAAATTATTGCTCAAATGGGATTAAATAATAGTAAATAATAATTTTTGCTACTGCTATTTTAATTAGACAAAATATGGATTACAATCATTTATATTGTTGATGAAAAGTTAAAATATATTTAAATAATTCTATTAATTTCAATTGAGATTTTCATGCTAATTAGTTTCAATAATAATCGTTCATAAATTTCATGAATTATTCAAAAAAATCTTATGATATCTTAATGTTATATAATACACAATCTTTAAACTATCTTCACATCTAATTTAAAAAATACCTGAAATGTTTTTAAAACAAAAATCTCTATAATTATATTTGAGAACATTTAGAATTAATAAATAAAAACATTAAAAAACATTTTAAGTTAATTAATTAAAATGCATAATAATTTCATTATCTAAATCATAAATTTAATGAGAAGAATCCTTCACTATAAATTTAAAATGTTTTATATTTTTTTCCCACTAATTGCATTTTATACCAGTGCTTATTTCATTAATAATTATTTAATAAATAATATACAGAACTAATTTTTGTATAAATAATGTAAATAAAATTTATATATATTTCAAAGTTTATAATGTGCAAGATATAATACAATTTAATGACTTAAAAAAATAATAATAGTTATTTATAAATTATAAAGTGCAATATGTTAATAATAAAAAAGTTCTAGTTCCAGTTTATAATTATTCAAATACTACAGTTTGAAGAACATGCTAAATTATGATAGAACATACCTTCATATTTTCTTATTAAATCAAATTATTTTCAAAAATACAAAGTGCAACTGGCATCAAATATCCAACAGAGCTAAAGAGAAAATATTTTTAAGTTTATGAAATAAAAATCAAACATATTCCTATTAATAAAACTTACATTTAACTATAAACTATGTAAATAATAAATAACTTGCATTTGTAAGTGTACAGTTTAATTTAAATCAATATACTTTAGATAATATTTTAAAAAGTCCTACCTTGTGTGGAGAGATGTTGTTAACAGGAATATCCTTTTCAAACTAACAGAAAAGTACTAACAGCAATCCTCCCAGCAAGAAAACAAACCAATTAGAGAAGCACAAAAGCAATTTTTTAAGTAATTTCAACTTACACAACCATTTAACAACAAACTAATTCAAAGTGGTTTCACCAATTACTTTTACAATGGGGAGGGTCAAAGTGTGGAAAATCATCAGAAACAATCTCTTCCCCATTCTTAGCAATTCAAGTAGTTTTATTACAGGGTGCAATAAAAGGCAGGGTGACATTCTGAAGAAAACTATTCAACAGTAGTGGGAAAAATTTTGTTTTTAACTGTCCTTTCAATTACCTAGTCATAAAGCAGTATTCTTAAAGCTACTGAGGAGAAAAATTATTAGACATGATTAAATAATATAACATCAATTAGTTGTAATTCCGTACTCATTATTTATATGATTAAACCAAGAAAAGAAAAACATTACTGTTGAAATTTTCTGTATTTAACTAGCTTTACCACTAAAAAATTCTTTACAATAAATTGTTATATTCCATTCTGGGTTGTTACAGATTTTAAATAGCTTATTATAATTCATAAATCAGAACTTTATTCATTCATATAAAATTTGCATGTAATAAATATTATATATATTAATTTCATGTATTAAAACTTAATTGATAATGAGAATTATTTTTCTAAATCCAATTAGCTTAAAAAATTTATTTATTTAATAAATTAATAATGCAAAATAATTTAAAAACTGCATTTTAACAAGTAGAAATATCATTATCTTTTTATAAAGATTAAAATATCTTAAATTTATTTAAAGTAATTCAAAATTTTGAATAAGTAATAATGAAACATTAGTATTATTTTTCAGCACATATTGTCTTTCAGAAGAAAAAATGCATAAAAATCATAATTAAGTTTATTTATAGCATAAAAAAGTTTCAGAAATGTAACAGATAAAAAAAGAAATATTTATGTAATGTTTAGCAACAGATAAAATTGAAAATATTTATTGTAATTATATATTTATCATAAAATCAATGGAAGAAACAATCTTTGGAATAAGGTATAAATTTGCTATGGAGAACTTATCATGCAGGACACTTTTTTACGATAGAAAAAGTAGATTTTATTTTCTGTTTTTTTTTAAAGAAATGCATTTCTGGCCATATACCCCACTTCAGTCCTTATTACATATAATGATAAAACTATAATATAACTAATGGTGACAACTGGAATAACTAAGTGTTAAAAATGTTTAAACTAGTAATACTGTAAAATTAAAAAAATAAACCTTGCTAAAAATATAGAAAAAATTGACAAATAAAAGGAGTAAAAACAAAAACTTTAAAAACAAGGTAAAAATGCCTCACTGTACTAATATCAGGAAGTACTGTATCTAATAAGGATTGAAGAGGGGCATATGGCTCAAAATGCATTTTTTTTTTAAATAAAAAAATAGAAAATAAAATCTACTTTTTCCTTAGAAAAAAGTATTCCTATATGATAAGTTTTCAATAGCAAATTTGTGCTTAATTCCAAAGAATATACAACCAAGAGAACAGCAAGCAATCAAGTAGGAAGAAACAATATATCACAAAAGTTTTACTCATCTGATGATAACTTTTTAATTTTATATTTAAAAAATAAAATACATCAAAAATCAGCAACTTTTATTTCAATCTATGGTTCTATTAATATGATTCACTAAATTAAGAAACCAAGTACATGTATTTAAAATCTGTAATTTGTATTACAATCAAATTTAAAAAGTGATAAAATAGAAGACATTCTGTTATCAAAATCTAGTTGAACCTCATCAAAAAAATTTCATTCAGATAGTCATGGAATTCTGGAATTTATGAATGAACTGTTGTCAAACTTTATAGACATATCTCAACTATTATATTTGTTCTTCAGTCATCAGCATACTTTACAAAACCTAGAAAATAAATTGATCAGTCAGTGATTTGAGGAAATTGATAGTTATTTTATAAACATCCTGTATTTTATGAGAGTCAAAATTTTTAAAAATACTTTATATATAATATATAAAGATTCATCCTCTCTAATTCAAATTTTCTATATGTTTCGTAAAAAGTGGAAGAATATTTTCAAATTACATTTAAATTATCTGTTATCGAATATCACTTTCATTACAATGATGTTAAATTTTATTTAATAAATAAAATTAAATATAATTATCTCAAAATTTCTTTGAGTCATATTTATACAATTTTATAAAATTATATTTTTTTAAATTACAAATTCATTACTTATGGTATAATTAATAAATGACGTTATTTATAAATTATAAAGTGCAATATGTTAATAATAAAAAAGTTCTAGTTCCAGTTTATAATTATTCAAATACTACAGTTTGAAGAACATGCTAAATTATGATAGAACATACCTTCATATTTTCTTATTAAATCAAATTATTTTCAAAAATACAAAGTGCAACTGGCATCAAATATCCAACAGAGCTAAAGAGAAAATATTTTTAAGTTTATGAAATAAAAATCAAACATATTCCTATTAATAAAACTTACATTTAACTATAAACTATGTAAATAATAAATAACTTGCATTTGTAAGTGTACAGTTTAATTTAAATCAATATACTTTAGATAATATTTTAAAAAGTCCTACCTTGTGTGGAGAGATGTTGTTAACAGGAATATCCTTTTCAAACTAACAGAAAAGTACTAACAGCAATCCTCCCAGCAAGAAAACAAACCAATTAGAGAAGCACAAAAGCAATTTTTTAAGTAATTTCAACTTACACAACCATTTAACAACAAACTAATTCAAAGTGGTTTCACCAATTACTTTTACAATGGGGAGGGTCAAAGTGTGGAAAATCATCAGAAACAATCTCTTCCCCATTCTTAGCAATTCAAGTAGTTTTATTACAGGGTGCAATAAAAGGCAGGGTGACATTCTGAAGAAAACTATTCAACAGTAGTGGGAAAAATTTTGTTTTTAACTGTCCTTTCAATTACCTAGTCATAAAGCAGTATTCTTAAAGCTACTGAGGAGAAAAATTATTAGACATGATTAAATAATATAACATCAATTAGTTGTAATTCCGTACTCATTATTTATATGATTAAACCAAGAAAAGAAAAACATTACTGTTGAAATTTTCTGTATTTAACTAGCTTTACCACTAAAAAATTCTTTACAATAAATTGTTATATTCCATTCTGGGTTGTTACAGATTTTAAATAGCTTATTATAATTCATAAATCAGAACTTTATTCATTCATATAAAATTTNAAATATCATAATATAAAAAATTAAGCTAAACTACAAAACTATAGTTAAATTTTGTACTATTTAATTGTGAAGTAGAAAATTAAACTATATCATTGCTTAAGTTTTATACTTTTAAAATAATATATTTGGCAACTACATCCTTTTTTTTCATTCATTAACATTTAATAAACACAGATTTAATCTAGTGACAGAATATATTAAAACATTGATTCTTAGTAACCAGATTGCAAATTTGAATTGTATGGATGGTTAAACATGGTGATATAAAAGTTGTTATAAGCTAAATAAAATATTCTAAAAGACAAATTTTATTATTATTTTTATTATAAATGGCAGATATAGAGAGAAGAAAGGCTTAAGCCCTCCTCATTGACACACAACAAAAATTTAAATTTATTTGTTAGCCCTGTTTGGGTCTTCTGGATCTATTATCACATTACTTTAAATAGTACTTACATCATATGAATCATTTACAAATATTTATGAACTGATGATATTCAAGATTAATAAAATAAATTAATATTTATTTTAATATTTAAAATGAAAAATACTGCTTTGATTACATTCCTATTTGGTAATAATAAAATTTTATAGAACTTTTGACAATAGCTGTAGAATGAAACGTAAGTGAATTACGAGTATAAAGTTTTTTGTTTCATCTGTTTTTATATATTTTGGCTACAATCTCTTCAGCAACAGTTAAAGCTGAGTAAAAAATAAATAAATAAACATTTAAATGAAAGTTTAATATTAATAAAAATACAGGTAAATACCAGATGCAAGGTAAGGAAAGGTATCAAGGAACAAAATTCCAGAAAAATTTTAAAGCAAGACTATGGACCATGGGTGCTTAAGTTGGCCCAAGTTGACACCTGAATGATCTATATAGTTATATCTAAAAAAATTTATGAATATATTAAAAATGATAAGGCTAATTCACATGAATTTGTAGTAGGTGCTAATAAGCTTTTATTTATATGTAATATAACTGTTATATTTAATCTTCCATTTTGAAGACATGCTAATTTCTATTTTGCAGGAGAGTGCTATTTAACTTTACACCAGTCCTGAATGCACTGTAATATTCTGTATTAAGCAAATGAATTAAAAACTACATAATAGCAAGGTTGCGGCAATGTTTTCATCTCTAAAACGTGAACGTCGAATGTCGCTATCTTGTAAGTGGTGCTCAACATTCGACATTCATGTTTTAGAGATGAAAACATCAGCCGCAATCTCACTATTAATTGAAAATGCTAAAATGCAATCTAAAAATTACATATAATTACTGTATACTGCATGTAATGTTAAATAGTACGATGAATTAAGGGTGATAGGGCATACAGTAAGAAGCTATTAATTTCATATTTGGACTATGGATAATAATATATTTAAAAAATGTATCCTTATCCATAGTATCCTTTTGTAGCTACAAAAATAGACCACATCTAATATAAAGGCTCATAATGTAATAGTAAAAGTATAATATCAGTTGTATTGATATTATACATTATTGTATAAGTGATATAACATTAATGTTTGATATTATAATGATGTATTGTGTAATATTTTCTGCTGTTATAATGTTTTTCAAACTTTTCATCTTCAAGACTTTAAATTTATAGACTTCAAAGCTGGAACAAAATGACATTTTGAAGTAATTTCAGCTATATTATTCCAAAACATAAAAATATTGTTTTTGACCTCAAGTAGTACTTAAGAAATAATATGGAATCAAAGATTTAAGAGATAAAATAGTCTAGAAATATAAAATTAGAACACTAAAAAATATTATATAAGATAATTTTAACACCATTCACAAACATTCTAAATATGGTAATTAGTATATTTATAAATTCTCAGTAATTGTCTAGGACACACTGATGACTGGGCTCACCTTAAAAAATGAATATCCAATATTTTTTTATATATATATTTTTTGTTTCATAAAGAATTTATTGGGTTTCTAAAGTGTGGATAAAGTATATGCAAATTTTTGATTATTTGGAAAGGTTACAATACTTAAGACACCAAATAATAATAGGCTTCCAAAAGTTTTGATTAGCATATGAGAAGATTTTTGCATCATAGATGTGGTAATTTTGGTATGAACACTTAAAAAGATGCCCATCCCTGGTCTAGGAGAACAACACAAATTTAGGGAAGCTAGGAAAATTTACAACAATGAAGATAATAGATAATTTGATCTACATTTTAATTACAAAAAAGATATACTCCAACTTTCATCCAAGTATATCACACAATATCAAATAATAGAATAATAAAGAACTACAGTATGTAAAATTTATATATATTTCATACATAAAAATATGTATAAATTAACAAAGAAACAAATATCAGAATCTGTCACAGAAAACAAAAAGTATGAAAATGTTATATCAAGTTTCAAAAATGCAGGAGAGAGGCTGTATATGAAAAGAAAATTGTAATGGTAAAAACTAAACAGAATTATAGAATACTGTACTGTAATATTAGAAATTAAGGATTTATAGATCATTGTCTTACATTATAACAACAAATTGGAATGTAAAATATAAAGCATAAAATATTTTAATACAGAATATTAAAAATTTTTTAAAATAAATATTTCAGGAAATTAAAATAAATTAAGCAATATCATATTGAAAAGTTTTCAAATATGAAAATGAATTTTTTAATGAATGGAAAAAGAAATAGCAAAGATTAAATTTTTATGCTATAAAATTGAAAAAATATTATTATTATATAGAAATACCAATAGATATACCAAACATTTCTAAAATAAGAGTTTTCTAAGAAAAGCTAACAAAAATAGGAAGCAAAAAATTATAAACACCCACTTTAGCACTAAAGTTTAAATTCAAAGAAAGAAAAGATCATATTCAATGAAACAGGTAATTGAATCATCATCATCATGAAATCCATTTTCTTGAAAGACAAAGGAAAATAAATTAACAAAAATATGTTAAATGAATTAATTAATGTTAAATGAAATCCATTCTAATATCAAATCTACATGTGACTAATATCCTAAAAATTACTTTCAGGAATCCTTTCAGCAGAATTTTTCATTTTCAAAAAATCAGAAACTATACAAGACTGAATAATACCTAATGTTGGCCATGTTTCATTTTCTGACTTGGTTTGCAACATCTTTTTGTTTTTTATCTTCATATAAGATGATTAACTTCATGTTAAATTATTATATGAAATTCAATAAACTTCATATAATAATGTCATTTTTCTTTTGCTCTCTTTGCCAATCATTGTACATATCAATACTTGATTTCTGTTATATTAAATAAATAAATAAGATATAAATGATATTATATACAGTAGATCTTTTCAATTATACTGAAAATTTCAAAAATTATTTATTTTAATTTTAAAAAATTTATTTATTAATCATTTTATATAATTGCTAGAATTTATTAAAATCAAACATTTTATGAATTTGTTCAAACTGTTGACTGCAAAAAATGTTCTTTTTATAATCATGGATTATTTAATACAATAAAATGATAAGCATGGCATATGATATAGTTAATTAATCATTTATATATAACAGTATCCAATACATTTTATCATTAAATATATTAATCTGGCCTACTGCCAGATTAATATATTTAATGATGTAAAATGGAAATACAAAAAATTTGTGTTTACTTTGTAAATACATATTCTAATATGTATATGGTTAAATATAATATTTAAAAGAAACATTTACACACTTAATAATTTTGCCTTATTTAACATTGCTCATACAATGCAGGCAGGTACACAAACTTCAAATGTTGTAGACTAATGGATATTTTGCAGTTTATGCAAAACGTCATGGTTTAGATATGTTTTTGCACCATTTAGTTTCCCCATTATTTAATGAGTACATTTACCTCCTTCAGTTTGCACCAAAATCCTTTTTTTTACACTAACATTATTCTCTTCTCTTTCATCCTTATCACTTCTTTCTAGCAAAATCTTATGAATTCTCTGCTGATTATGCAATAGGAAAAATTCTTGTGCCTTGAGGTAGAAAATGACAAAAGATATGTAAATGTTTCAAAATAATACTTGTACAGAAACCTAAAAACTTGCTAGAGTGTTTCTTTATTAATTAATAAAAAGCAATCTTAAAGATTTTATTTTCTGTTAGTAAAAAACATTGCATTAAAATTACACTTATCATGCTTTCATTCTTATAGAAACTACCACTGGATGTGTATATGGAGCTTTAATTGCAAGTAGGTTGAGTGACATTCAAAAGCACTTCGGTGATAGTCACCCCAACTGGTATCTGTATTCTTTTCTTTCATTATTTTTTGTGGAAAAACTACACAAATAGTGAATGAATAGGACATTAGCATGTTCAGAAGTATTTCCAGGAAAGTTAATGAAGATCCCAAAAATATTAAAACTGCCATGCATGAACAGTATGCATTAAAATACAATTTTTTAATATTCAAATCAAAAATTAAATATTCATATACTATATTTCTTATATTTGAAAAAAGCCAATTATATTTTGGTACCAGGAATTAAATACTTAAATTACTGTTTTTTTCCTTGTACAGAATTTAAGTAATAAAGTTTGCATCTTGTAAAAAAATTTCCCAATCTCTTATGAAAAATTTATAAAGTTGGTGGTTTTGTTATTAAATGTTTCACCTTTTTACGTACAGATCTAATATGCAACAAATAAATGAAAATCATATTGAAAAGTTTTCAAATATGAAAATGAATTTTTTAATGAATGGAAAAAGAAATAGCAAAGATTAAATTTTTATGCTATAAAATTGAAAAAATATTATTATTATATAGAAATACCAATAGATATACCAAACATTTCTAAAATAAGAGTTTTCTAAGAAAAGCTAACAAAAATAGGAAGCAAAAAATTATAAACACCCACTTTAGCACTAAAGTTTAAATTCAAAGAAAGAAAAGATCATATTCAATGAAACAGGTAATTGAATCATCATCATCATGAAATCCATTTTCTTGAAAGACAAAGGAAAATAAATTAACAAAAATATGTTAAATGAATTAATTAATGTTAAATGAAATCCATTCTAATATCAAATCTACATGTGACTAATATCCTAAAAATTACTTTCAGGAATCCTTTCAGCAGAATTTTTCATTTTCAAAAAATCAGAAACTATACAAGACTGAATAATACCTAATGTTGGCCATGTTTCATTTTCTGACTTGGTTTGCAACATCTTTTTGTTTTTTATCTTCATATAAGATGATTAACTTCATGTTAAATTATTATATGAAATTCAATAAACTTCATATAATAATGTCATTTTTCTTTTGCTCTCTTTGCCAATCATTGTACATATCAATACTTGATTTCTGTTATATTAAATAAATAAATAAGATATAAATGATATTATATACAGTAGATCTTTTCAATTATACTGTTAATATTAATAAAAATACAGGTAAATACCAGATGCAAGGTAAGGAAAGGTATCAAGGAACAAAATTCCAGAAAAATTTTAAAGCAAGACTATGGNAGTAATACATACGGACAAAATTTATATTATTTTGGAAACATTTCACAAGAAGATTCTCCCATTTCTCGATCTCTTACAAACACTACACAGTCTACTTCCACACAAGGATTTGGAAATATTTCTTCTAGTCATCAATCATTAGCAGTAGGACAAATATCATATCCTCCAATGAGCACACCTGCACCTGCATCCACTCCAGCTAATCCTCCACCTTCGGTGTCAGTCGGACAAGCATACATTCCAGGTGCAATTGCATCTAATCAAGAACGATTATCTACATCATCAGTTACACCTTATGGTGATATTTATTCTTCCCCACCTACAAGTGCCACAACTTACAGTGCATCTGGAACTCATCCTTCAACTCCAGCATCTCCTAGAAAAGCAGAAAATTTACAGCATACACCTCAAACTTGTTCTGTTGATCACAGCAATCTTGATGTAGATAGCAGTCAGTTTGTGGATTCTGTTCATTTAAGTTCACAGGAAGATGATGATAAATGCATTGAAGAAATTGTGACTACTTCACTACAGCCTAGCATTAGGTCATGCGAAAGTCATCAATCTGCTAAATTATTAGAAGATGATTTATCAATTGTTGATTCTGAACTTATACATGCCGAAACCTCTGTTCAAGAACACAAGCCTTTGTCTATGCTTCCCATGTTACCAATTCATTCTGTTAATAGTAATCAAACGAAAACGATTGAAATGGATTCTGTTTTTGATAGTCAAAGCATGCCAATGAATTTATCCGTTTTGGATACGATTACACCATCTCAATCAGACAATAGTTATGTTCATACTGCACAATGCAATTCCCTTCCCATTTCTGATGTTTATGATTTACCTGAATCCTTAACTCCCCCACCTCCAGATTCAAGAAAAAATAAACCTAAAGGAAAAAGAGGGAGAAAAAAGGGTTCATTGAATAATCGGTTATTTACTTTTGGAGCAACCAAATATAAACCATATACAGAGACGTTAGTTTCTATAATGAAATCAAAAGATATTAAACAAACAAGAAATAGTTCTAAGAAAAAGGATATTCAGGAAGAAGTAAGAGATATTCAAATGGAAAGCACATTTACAGAAAGCAATGTTTTAACTGCTGAACAGTCTGCTAATAATTCAGAGATGACAAATGAACATTTGGTGAATTTTATTAATTTCTCCAATCCGGTTGTTTCAAATTCAAATTGGAATTTTAACAATCAAGATAGTGATAATAATGAAAAAATTCCCGTTATAATTGATAAAAATAAAACAGACAATAGTTCGGTAAAAAATGATGATGATTCTTGTCTTCAGAATTCTAAAGATGGTGCAATGGATGATGATTTGGGTTTCCTAACTGAATTACAAGCTAACAAAGATAATGAGAAAGACAATTCATCAAAATCCGAAGAGAAAATTAGAACTGGCTTTTTACAAAGCTTTTTAAGTTTTCTTGAAGAGGACCCTGCACCATCGAATGATCAGGACAAGAAGACTCCATCAAAGAAACGAATTAAGGGAAGACCTAAACAGTCTCCTTCAAAATTAAGTTCTGCATTAACTTCTATAACTGAGCTTGAAAAAATGGATCAGAAGGAATGGTTAATAAATGGAGATGTTTGTATGAAAAAGAAAGATAGTGATGAAGATGGTGAGGAACATTTTGATGAAGCATCTTCATTGGATACAAGTCTTTTCGGAAGTACGTTGCAAAAAGAAGTGATTGTTCCAAATCCTGAAGCACCTTCATTTTCATCAGATGAAGAGGATAATTCTTGTCAAGGATTGTCTGACACAGTTGCAATGGCAATTCGAAGATTGTGTGAAGATTGTGAACCATTGGGACCAAACGATAGTGAAGAAATGCCTTTAAAATCTAAAGATGATGATCAAGATGACAGAAAAGATGAGACAGATCAAAAATCTATTGGTGAATGCTCATTTATCAAGAATCAGTTGAAGGATAATGAAGCAGAACTGGAGGAAAGTAATGAAAAAACAGATGACAAAATGTTGTCAAATAAAGTTGTTAAACCAAATAAATCAAAAGAGACTCAAATCTGTAATGATATTAAAAAAGATAATGATATAGCTGACTCAGAAAAAGAAGAAAAGGAGGATAATGAAGTGTTAAATGATTCAAATATTCATTTTATATCTAAGAAATTAAGCAAAAAATGTAAAACACAATTAACTCAGAAGAATCACATTAATCCTGTAAAAAGTAAGTTGCATTTATTTAAAGAATATTCTGTTGATTTGCATAGGTTCAGCAGTTTATTTGAAATAACAATTTCTGAAATATTTTTAGACTTAAATATTTCAATAACAGGCCATGATTTTTATAGTTTAAAAACTATAACATAAAAATTACTTTTATAGCAGCTGAAAATTTTAAATAATTTGTATTTATTAAATCAGAGAAATAGTGCAAATTGCAATAGTTATAATTAAGGCTATCACAACTTTCAAACTTTGCATTCGTTTCAGCTTTTATTTTTGTTTCTTGTTTGTTTCTACTCTCTAATTCTCTATAATTTACAATTTCTAAGTCTGGTATTTTTGGTTAAAAATTTATTATGAAGTTTTAATACATTAAAATAAATTACTAATACAAAATTTATAATGAAAAATTTAATTATATATTTTTATTATTAATTTTTTTATATGTGTACACATTTTACACACTAATATCTCAAAAAAATAAATAAGTAAACAATGAAAGTTTTCTGATGTCAGACCAAAACTTGAGAAACTGAAAGAATCTGATTATTTTTTAATTAACATCAGAAGAAAGGTTTTAATGATATTCAGAATTTTATAACATTTAATATTTTCATATTATTAATTAAGAAGAACAGTATTTTAATAACATTAATATATTTAGTATATTTTACAAAATCTGACTATAAATTGTTAACATATACAATCAGTTGTCAATAATGTAAATGCTGTTCTGAACAAAAACTTTACCTTATAAAATAAAGCACCTTATTGAGGAATAACAGAAATTTTATTTATTTATATAAAGTAATTAGTAATTACAGTTTGATACTTTCCAACCAGTTCTAAATTATTGACTCTTAGCTCAGTTTCATTCAATTTATCAAGAATGTATTGGGGAACATCAGTTTTATTGTGCAAGTGTGTTACACAGCAATGTAGTCACTTGCTCAATGTGTTACACAACAATGTGTAACACATTGAGCAAGTGACTAGTGGAATGTGTTGTGATTCATTAATAAGTTCATTATCATTATTAATTGTATCAATTACCATATTGTATCAACAAAGTCTTCAGTTGATAATTCTTTAGAGCTATGACTTTTTTTTTTTAAATAATTAACTGTAGTTTCATGTTTAACGAAATTTTGGGAATTATTGACTTCATCAATCTTAATTCAGAAAATTACTATATAATTAAAGGAGTCAACTTTTATTTCTAATTAAATGATTTTTAACACTTTTTGTCTCATTGTCAAATTAAACACTTAACAGATTTGAACACACAACAAACTACAAAATGTTGATGCCTATAGATTCAAACATCTATTCTCTTGGGCTTTGCAAATCAGTTCAATTACTTGAAGAATATTTACTTTAGTCACCACTACCATTACTGTCAATGTGTTTAATGTTTGGTTCTAATAACATATTTCTGTGGTAATGTTTTCAATTATGAATAATACCCAAATCAAGCAGTTGGCCTGAGGATGTATTCTTTGGTAAAAATAAGAGTTCAATGTTGTTCAATGTGTAGATAAATGTATTGCTGAGTGACCACTTTTAAATTACTTACGAATAAAATCTCTGCTCTTGTTTTTTACTTGGTTGTTGAAATCATATATATACTCTTCAGCAATTGATGAACTAATCCAAGCAGATTTGTTATGCTTGTAAATTACAGGAAGAGATTTTCACCACTTTTATATGCTTGTGGATAGGCTGACTTTCCAATCACAAGCAGCTGTTGATAATCTGTATCATCAGCATTGATACGTAGTTAGTTATATGTTGCTTAATTCTTTTAGATTTACAGGCTTGTCTTTTTGGCCATAAATGTTTTACTTTGCATAAAATTGCAAGAGCCCTTATGCTAAATAAAATTATAAACACTATTTAAAGAATACTGTTTTACTTTTTGATGGTATCAGGTAGTTATTTCTCATAAGTTTCTACATCTTTATCAGCTTTCTCACCATGTAAGTATGATATCTTCTTTGAGATGATTTTACAATATTTAATGAATGAGAATTGCATGTTTAGATTAATGTTGCCAACTTAAATTTTATTAGAACTAAGTGAAATTTGAAAGTAACTTATAATTACAGTATTAGAATATTGTCTGATTGTTCAAGTAAATTTATGTCTGAAAAAAATATGCTAGTTTTTGAGCTGTCTGATAGGAAAGTTTTTATCAATTAGATACTGTCTAGATAACAGTAATACCCAGTAGATCTGTAAATTGGCAACATTAATTAATAGAGTATTGTCTGATGAGTATCAAAGTTTGAAAATTTTTCAAAATTAGCAGCATTAAATTTAGAAATTTACTCTATCAAAAAATTATATTATACTATTTGTCCTGCAAGTACAGTTTACCTTATTGAATGTTTTTAACATTAGATATATAGCAAATGGCAAATGTTTCCAGAAATAGTTCACCTTATTGAGAACTAATTGTAATAAATTTCATAACTGGCAATGGAAATGGAAGATCCCAGAAATTGTCTTTTATGTAAAGTAAAGCATCAAAATTGCATCATTTTAATTAATGTTTTTTTAATCAATAGACTTAAATAATGAAAAAACTCAATTTTAAGCTTATTGTAATGATTCACAAGTTGAGTTAAGCATATTATTTTATAGAAGAACTAATTCTAATTCTTTTTACAAAAGAGATTAAACAACTTCTACAAAATACAAATTTTAACAAATACACAAATCTTGAATTATCTTTAAATTCACAGAAATTTGCTTAAATAACTGTTTAATTTCACTGAAAATAATTAACTCTGCTAAAAATATGATTATATAACATTTGTTTATTCGTTAAAATATAAATCAGTATCTTAGAGTTGTCTGTATGATAAAAATTCAGTGACATGAAATCTTTGAATAGAAGCAGACTACTTATAGAAAAATGAAATAGTGCATTCACAAGAGGATGTCAAGTATATTGCCAAAAAAATCTGAAAGCTCAAAATATTTTACATCCTAAAACAGGGATGGAGAACCTTTTAGAGTTTGCATGCCATATAATGAGCATAATTAACTTTAAAAATCTTTATGCATCCCAAAGTTTTAAATTTTGAGTAATGACAATTAAAGAAATGAAATAAATATGATTTAGTTAGAATAAGTATAAAGAAGCTGATTGAAAAAAGGTTTGTTTATTAGGGGGATTGATGCTATTAAAACTTAATGATTAAAAATCAAGATGGGGAGATAAAGGGAGTCGTGTATATCCAGTATGATCAGACTTGATGAAGATTTTACTTGTTATTTGCATTTACAATTTTTTATAAAACACATCCCTACTCTCAAAATTAAGCTTTTTGCCATTTTATAATAGTTAAAATATAAAAGTTTTTGTAATATAACAGATGGCACTACCAACTGTTGCTGGATTTTTTTTCCTAACAGAATACAGTACTATAAAAGCAAATTATTAACACAGAAATCTATCATGGATGAATTGTAATTTTTACCATTCATTATATTATTTGATTAATGCAATTTTCATATACATGGTAACGTGAAGGGATTAATTGTGTTAATCAAGAGATTCCAGTATATTGGTTCTTTCCTGAAAAATAAAGCATTTCAATAAAACAAAATGTATTTTTTTTCTTATAATCTAAGAAGAAGTAAGGTAGAATTTAACAATAAACTGCTGGAATTTTAAGCTACTTCTATAGTTCTAATTTAATTTATTAACAGAAACTGATTCTAATTAAGCAGAACTGCTGTCTTATTAAAACTTTAATAGTTAGATATTCATTTTTTTTTTAAATTAAACAATTAATAGCTTAAAATATTTAGAAAAAGATTAACTTTGAGTAGGATATTTATTAATTTGTATATAGGTAATTGTGTTCTGTTCATACGTATTACATATTAAATTATGTCATCTGATAATGCAAACCAAGCTTTCTCTAACTTACAAATAACAATTTTGTGCAGATAACCTGCAGAAAATCCACGTTTGAAGTCACTTTGAAAACGGGTTGGTTATTTATCAAATTTAATTTGCAATTATGGACTTACCAAACAGTTGTTCCTTTGGCTAAAGTCACCAAGAGTGTCTTTAGAAAATGTGAAATATTTATTTGTACACCACAGATATTAATTTTGCTATTTGTGATTTTCCTGAAACAACCAAAGACATGTACTGTATATGCATGCCTCATCTTTATTTGCCATATTCATTTTTATACATTTAATCCATGATTTAATTGATATTTTTAGACACTCCTATTTGAATTTACATCTGAAAAGTTGATAAATTTCTAATAATTATTTCAGAGAGAATAATTATTAGAAATTTATCAATTTATTTGTCATTTAGAAAAACTTTGATTGTTTAGACACATGATTCAATAATTTTGGTAACATTAAACATTTAATCAGTTGCACAGTAGATACTTAAAGAAAAATGCATCAAGTATCAACAAATGGAATATGTATTGTGGATATTGCTAATACTATAAGAGGCTTCATAGCATCATGTCAATGTATCTTATAACAAACTGTTATTGATGTACTGGTACTTTATGTTTTAGTTACATTTTAGGAAATTGGTCAGGATTTTGGATTGATAATATATAGATAATTATACATATTAGAAATATTACTTTAGTTTCTTTTATTGATAAAAAGTTTTTCTTTTGCATTTCAGATTATAATAGAAAAATATTTTCAAGTGACCATGAACTCCAGTCCTTGGTCTGCATATAGTCAGCATTATTCTCGTTTGGTTGGTTCAGGTAATCCTGCTGCTAGTTCTTTAACACAGGGTTCTTCTTTAAATGAATTAACTCTATCTGCTTCTCTTCCACGTCAAGAACATATGGGAGGATATGGCACTACTGCTAATGCACATCATTTGTTACTTTCATCTCATCCGGGTATTAATCCTCCTCAAACTACTAATCGTACAGATGGCTCTTTTAATACAGCTGGTCTGTTTGGTACTAATTATGATTCCAGTGTTTTCTGTACACCATTTCAGTCATCAGCTAAAAATCACTTATCTTCATTTTCTCAAGGAAGCAACTTTTATAAATCAGTTAACAGAGAAAATGATTTTAGTGATCTCAGGGGAGGATTTATGCACTGTAATGTTGCTTCAAATCCAATGAATCCAGATGGAAGTGCTGCATTACCTACAGGATCAGGATTAAGTTCTTCTGTATTATTTAATTCACCTATGGCTTCTGGTACATGGCGGCACTCGGCTGTAATGCCATCTTCTTGTGGGCCATTTGGCATTTTACCTCATGAAGCAATTATGTCTCGTAATCATTTAGTTGAAAGAGGAACTGATAAAATTGTTTCACAAAGTCCTAAAAGTTCTAGAACATCCCTTACGGCAGCATCATTTTTAGAACAAGATCTAAATAGTGGATACCGAAGTGTATTACCTTCTCCAAGTCGTCCTCCTTCCTCTTTTTTAGATACAGGTGGTGGTTCTCATCCAATGTTAACTCCACAAACTGATCCTTATTTGACATCTGTAAATGAATCTTATTTTTCCTCGACATCTAAATCTAATTTTCAAGCATATAGTACCTTTGGAGCAAATTTACATAATTCGGTTTCACGAAGTTCTTCGGTGTCTTCATATTTTTATCCACAGACATATACTTCATTTGGTGCTTCAGTAGACAAAGTAGATTCCCCTGTATCTCAAAGTACTTCTACAACATCTAATACAAATTTAGTGCCAAATACAGGTGTCATTGTTAACTCTATGCAAATGCAGAATGGACAAGGCCTCAGACAATCTGTGATTAGCAAGAGTACCAGTAATTCAAATATCATTCATCCACAAAATAGTAATACATACGGACAAAATTTATATTATTTTGGAAACATTTCACAAGAAGATTCTCCCATTTCTCGATCTCTTACAAACACTACACAGTCTACTTCCACACAAGGATTTGGAAATATTTCTTCTAGTCATCAATCATTAGCAGTAGGACAAATATCATATCCTCCAATGAGCACACCTGCACCTGCATCCACTCCAGCTAATCCTCCACCTTCGGTGTCAGTCGGACAAGCATACATTCCAGGTGCAATTGCATCTAATCAAGAACGATTATCTACATCATCAGTTACACCTTATGGTGATATTTATTCTTCCCCACCTACAAGTGCCACAACTTACAGTGCATCTGGAACTCATCCTTCAACTCCAGCATCTCCTAGAAAAGCAGAAAATTTACAGCATACACCTCAAACTTGTTCTGTTGATCACAGCAATCTTGATGTAGATAGCAGTCAGTTTGTGGATTCTGTTCATTTAAGTTCACAGGAAGATGATGATAAATGCATTGAAGAAATTGTGACTACTTCACTACAGCCTAGCATTAGGTCATGCGAAAGTCATCAATCTGCTAAATTATTAGAAGATGATTTATCAATTGTTGATTCTGAACTTATACATGCCGAAACCTCTGTTCAAGAACACAAGCCTTTGTCTATGCTTCCCATGTTACCAATTCATTCTGTTAATAGTAATCAAACGAAAACGATTGAAATGGATTCTGTTTTTGATAGTCAAAGCATGCCAATGAATTTATCCGTTTTGGATACGATTACACCATCTCAATCAGACAATAGTTATGTTCATACTGCACAATGCAATTCCCTTCCCATTTCTGATGTTTATGATTTACCTGAATCCTTAACTCCCCCACCTCCAGATTCAAGAAAAAATAAACCTAAAGGAAAAAGAGGGAGAAAAAAGGGTTCATTGAATAATCGGTTATTTACTTTTGGAGCAACCAAATATAAACCATATACAGAGACGTTAGTTTCTATAATGAAATCAAAAGATATTAAACAAACAAGAAATAGTTCTAAGAAAAAGGATATTCAGGAAGAAGTAAGAGATATTCAAATGGAAAGCACATTTACAGAAAGCAATGTTTTAACTGCTGAACAGTCTGCTAATAATTCAGAGATGACAAATGAACATTTGGTGAATTTTATTAATTTCTCCAATCCGGTTGTTTCAAATTCAAATTGGAATTTTAACAATCAAGATAGTGATAATAATGAAAAAATTCCCGTTATAATTGATAAAAATAAAACAGACAATAGTTCGGTAAAAAATGATGATGATTCTTGTCTTCAGAATTCTAAAGATGGTGCAATGGATGATGATTTGGGTTTCCTAACTGAATTACAAGCTAACAAAGATAATGAGAAAGACAATTCATCAAAATCCGAAGAGAAAATTAGAACTGGCTTTTTACAAAGCTTTTTAAGTTTTCTTGAAGAGGACCCTGCACCATCGAATGATCAGGACAAGAAGACTCCATCAAAGAAACGAATTAAGGGAAGACCTAAACAGTCTCCTTCAAAATTAAGTTCTGCATTAACTTCTATAACTGAGCTTGAAAAAATGGATCAGAAGGAATGGTTAATAAATGGAGATGTTTGTATGAAAAAGAAAGATAGTGATGAAGATGGTGAGGAACATTTTGATGAAGCATCTTCATTGGATACAAGTCTTTTCGGAAGTACGTTGCAAAAAGAAGTGATTGTTCCAAATCCTGAAGCACCTTCATTTTCATCAGATGAAGAGGATAATTCTTGTCAAGGATTGTCTGACACAGTTGCAATGGCAATTCGAAGATTGTGTGAAGATTGTGAACCATTGGGACCAAACGATAGTGAAGAAATGCCTTTAAAATCTAAAGATGATGATCAAGATGACAGAAAAGATGAGACAGATCAAAAATCTATTGGTGAATGCTCATTTATCAAGAATCAGTTGAAGGATAATGAAGCAGAACTGGAGGAAAGTAATGAAAAAACAGATGACAAAATGTTGTCAAATAAAGTTGTTAAACCAAATAAATCAAAAGAGACTCAAATCTGTAATGATATTAAAAAAGATAATGATATAGCTGACTCAGAAAAAGAAGAAAAGGAGGATAATGAAGTGTTAAATGATTCAAATATTCATTTTATATCTAAGAAATTAAGCAAAAAATGTAAAACACAATTAACTCAGAAGAATCACATTAATCCTGTAAAAAGTAAGTTGCATTTATTTAAAGAATATTCTGTTGATTTGCATAGGTTCAGCAGTTTATTTGAAATAACAATTTCTGAAATATTTTTAGACTTAAATATTTCAATAACAGGCCATGATTTTTATAGTTTAAAAACTATAACATA